CAATTTTTCAGGGATCCACCTCAGTCTATACTGGCCTACGAAGTGGCCTAGGAAGTTGACTTCGGGCTTGTTCAGCTCGCACTTTTCGCGCGTTGCACGTTAACACGCCCCTTTGAGGGATTCGAGTACGGCACGCATGTGCTCGAGGTGGCTGGTCGGATCTTTGCTGAAGATGAGGATATCATCTAGGTTGACAACGCAGTAAGCGTCGATGAGCACGGTGTTTATGACCTTTTGAAAGGTCGCCGGTGCATTAGTCAACCCGAAGCACAGCACTTTGTACTGGGACGTTCCCAAGGGTGTCATGAGGCTGGTTTTTGGGATGTCCTCCTCCGTGATGCGGACTTGATGGTAGCCGCTTTGTAGGACGAGGGATGAGGAGATACTCGCGCCCTGGAGTTTGTTGAGGAGGTTGGTGATGTTCGGAAGTGGATACCGGTTTTTATGGTGATTTTGTTAAGAGTGCTAAAGTCAAGGCACATGAGAAGCGAGCCGTCCTTCTTTTGTGAGAAGAGGACGTGCGCACCGAATGGTGACTTCGATTCTTAAATAAAACCTTTGGCCAGCAAGTCAGAGAGCTGCTTTTTCAACTTCGTTTGTCCAGCCGTGAAAGCCGGTATGGCCGGGAGTATGGCGGCTTTATGCCAGGTTCCAGCTCGATGGTGTGGCCAGTGGCGAGGTCAAGCAACATAAACGTGCTCCTCGCCCTCCTCACCCTCCTCTCCCTCCTCTTAAGTGTTCTGCACTAGAACCTCTTTCTGACAGCTCCGTGCTGCTATAACCGTGCAACTTCGCTAGCACCAAAGCCATCGCCTTAGTTCACTCAGGGGCTTCACATGTTCTCATCTCTCGCTACACTCATGCAAAAACTGTTTTTACAGCCCCACGCAATCAAACGTAGCGCAGGTCATGCCTAAGCTAGTCGAAGGCATCGATCTCATTCTTGGCAGCCGCTGGATGCGTGAACACGGTGCAGTACTGGACTTTGGCCAGGACACCTGCATAGTGACACGCCATGGCCGCTCACATCGGCTGCAGAGCCTAAACGAGCCGCTGTCCAAGGGTGCTGCGGTTATGAATGATGTAATTGTGGTTTTACACGCGGCAATGTCACCTATCGCCAACCTGGTGTCTATGAAGCAGATCAAAAAACAAGGCGTGTCTTGTTATGCTGCCTTCACGACAAGCGACGACATCGCCCAATTAAACGCCATGGACGCCACCTCGGCAGCCCCG